AAGTCCTGCTGGAAAAGGAAATCAGCATCTCCATAAAGCTTGTCAGCAGATGGAAGCATAAAGTGCTCCAAAATCTCCTGGTGGATGGCTGCATTGACTTTGGACTTGATAAAACACAATGGAGCAACACCAGCAGACGTCACGGCACCCCAAATCATCTCTGACTTCAGAAACTTCCCACTGGACTTCAAGCAGCTTGGATTCTGTGCCTCTCCAGTCTTCCTCCAGACTCCAGACCTTGATTTGATCTGAAAAGAGGACTTTGGAGCACTAAGCAACAGTCCAGTTCTTTTCCTCCGTAGCCCAGGTGAGATGCTTCTGACGTTGTTTCATTGTTGGTGACTCTTGATGCACTGACTCCAGCTTCAGTCCACTCCTTGTGAAGCTCTCCCAAGTGTTTGAATCGGCTTTGCTTGACAGTATTCTCAAGCTTGTGGTCATCCCGGTTGCTTGTGCACCTTTTCCCACCCACTTTCTTCCTTCCAGTCAACTTTGCATTTAAAATGCTTTGATACAGCACTCTGTGAAATAATGAGCTTCTGTGACTTACTCTCTTTGTGGAGCGTGTCAATGATCGTCTTCTGGAGCATTGCCAAGTCAGCAGTCTTCCCCATTATTGTGGTTTCAAAGAACAAGAAATACCCGGAATTTATACTGTATAGGGATGGTCATTTAATGACACTCAAATGTAAATATTCTAATATTTTGAGATACTGGATTTTTGACTTTTTTATGAGTTGTAAGCTCTAATCATCAAAATTAAAACAAAACAAAAAAACTTTTGAAATGGTTTACTTTACACGTAACGTATCTAGAAAATATGAAAGTTTCACTTTTTGAAATAAGTTACTATAACTTTTTCACAGTATTCTAATTTTTTGAGATGCACCTGTATACACAGATTTACAGCAGGCTAAATATATTGAAGTATTCACGCAAACATAATCTGTTCAGTCTGAAGTGAACGTTTGGGGAAAAACATCTGATGTGTAACATTATATTAGATCTGTGCATCACACTATGTCTTAAAATACTGTATAAGCCGTCTGTCGCATTAATATTAATCAAACAATAAAAGAAAAGAGGGAATCACTCGCTGCTTGATTTAACTGCTTTTGTAGTTTTAATAATCAGTTTATTTGTAATGAACACATTAAAGTGATTTTTACATTTTACTATTTGTTCACTGCAAAAAATTATTTTCTTAGTGTTTTGTTTTCTAGTATAAATATCTAAACATTGTTGAATCAAGATGCATTTACTGTACAAGTTAAATGATTTAAGATATAAGTCTTGTTTTCTAAAAAATATATATATATAAAAAATGTGTTAGTTTTTGCTTAAAACAAGCAAAAATATCTGCCAATGGGGCAAGAAAAATTATCTTGTTTAGTCTTTGAATTAAGATTATTTTTCTTACCGCATTAGCAGATATTTTTGTTTGTTTTAAGCAAAAACACACAAAATGTTGATACTTTTTTTTTTAGAAAACAAGACTTAATATCTTAATAATTTTATTTGTCAAGTAAATGCATCTTGATTCAAGAATGTTTAGATATTTATACTAAGAACACAAGACACAAACACTAAGCAAGAGAATCATTTTTTTTGCAGTGTTTTTCTTGAATGCTTATATTTAGATGTAAAATGAAAAAGTAGTTAATACACTTGTTTCTTTCTTATATTTGTTTATGTTTTGCATCGTTTCTTGTTTATAACAACAAAGATACAATAAAAAATAGCTGTATTTTGATTATTAATCCAGTAATGATTATAGTGGCGGAGAAGGAAGAAAGCTTTGAAACCTTCAGAAAAATCAGTTTAAATCAGTTTTTCTCTAAATTGACTCCATCGACTTCAAACAGATGTAGCTCAGTCATTTTTCGTCCGATTCCAACAAATCATAACTCATTTTTGAAAATGTGCTCATTGTGACTCATTTTTCCCAGCATAGGTCACATATAAATTTACAAAATATCTTCATGGAACATGATCTTTACTTAATATCATGATGATTTTTGGCATAAAAGAGAAATGTATAATTTTGATGTATAATTTTGAATATATAATATATTGTTGGCTATTGCTACAAATATACCTGCTTTTGTGCTCCAGGGTCACATATACAGTTGGTTTTGCGTGCTTCATGATTATTTGTTCATGCAGACGTTACTGTTAAGCGTTCTGATGAAGAAGATTGGGAATAAAAGCACAGTGCTGCTGGGACTGGGGTTTCAGTTGTTCCAGCTGGCTTGGTACGGCTTCGGGTCTGAACCGTGGTGAGAATCTGCCATTGATTGTAATGGGAAGTGAGCAGTGCTGTGAATGGTGTGAGTAACTCTGTGTTTGTTGATGATAGGATGATGTGGGGGGCTGGTGCTGTGGCTGCTGTGTCCAGCATCACCTTTCCAGCCGTGAGCGCGCTGGTGTCTCGCTGCACGGATCGCGACCAGCAGGGTGAGAGACGAAACACAGCAACACGCTCGTCAATACTGCACAAAACCACCTTCTTACTCAGTTTTACAGTGCAACTATCTAAACATTCTTAAAGGGACATTTTACCCAAAAATGAAAATGTGATGTTTATCTGCTTACCCCCAGGGCATCCAAGATGTAGGTGACTTTGTTTCTTCAGTAGAACACAAACTGAGATTTTTAACTCAAACCGTTGCAGTCTGTCAGTCATATAATGGAGGTGAATGGGAATCACGGATTTGAGAGTCAAAAAAACATACGCAAACAAAACCAAATTAAACCCTGCGGCTCGTGACGATACATTGATGTGTAAAGACACGAAACGATCGGTCTGTGCAAGAAACTAAACAGTGTTTATATCGTTTATATGCCCTGGGGGTAAGCAGATAAACATACATTTTCATTTTTGGGTGAACTATCCCTTTAAATCATGATGCATTAAGATATTAAGTCTTGTTTTCTGAAATATGCATTAAATTTAGGCAAGTTTATGATCGGTCACTTCTGACCGGAGAATTTTACATTTTGAATTTTTAAAAATCTAGCTTCACCAGAATGGTACGAAACTTGGTGACTTTTATGGAACTTGGTATGTGAACACACAAAAATGGGGAAAAAAATCGAAATACAGACAATTTTTGTGTGTACAATCTACAAATCTCCCACAATGCAGAAAAAAATTGCACAGTAATGAAGGGGTGAAACTCTAAAACATCTAGAGTGTAAAAGAGATACATCCACTCACACACACTCACACACACACACACACACACACACTCACCTCTCACTCACTCACTCACTCACTCACTCACTCACTCACTCACTCACTCACTCACTCACGCACACGCACACGCATACAGAATTATACATACTCAAATGAATTGGTATGGCTATAACCATTTAGCCAAAATGAGTCAGAAGACTGAAATAAGAGGTTAAAATCAGATCAGACCCAGAAGGATTAAGCTCTGATAAAGCATTCCTGTTCATTCTTGTTACATTTTTATAGAATTTTAATGTTTTGTGTACAAAATGCTTTCTGTGTTCAGGTTTGAATGTAGCAATAATAATGCAAAAACCTACACTTCAAATCAACATTTAAAACAACAAAAAATATAAACCTTGACAAAAAGTAGTCTTTGAGAATGCCTTAATATGCATTTAAATCCACAACCTAATAAAAGTAAACAAAAAAAATTCAAAAAATATTTACAAAAAAAGTAAATATTATTGAACAAAAATATATTAGATTGATTTTACTGAAGAAAAAAAAAAGTTAGATTTCAGGTGTCAGGTCACTTTTGACCACGAAGACCATGAGTGCGACTCCCAAATGAGGAGTGCACAAGGATTAAAGCTAGATTGTAAAATATCAGTCAGTGGGGTCAGAAGAACACATTTTGCAGTTGTGGATGCTGAATAAATGCATGGCAACTTTGTGTTGCAATAAAAAAAAATCTTAATTGCTGTTGTTTTAATAGAAAAGCATGAACATAATTTGGAATTGTTGAAGTTAATTTTAGGAATTTCACTGGGTCTCAGCCTTTGAGAGAAGCTTCTTGTTGTACCAGTTTTCATAATGTAAAGAGAGTGTTAATTTATATAATAAATAAAATGCGTTAGAAAACTAGATGAGGTTAAATAAACCATGCACGTTGATGTTCTTTTGATTTGTGCTTTTGTGAAAGTGTAGTGTGTAAAATGACAATAAATAGCGATAAATAGCTAAATTGTCTAAATAGCGATAGACAATAAATAAATAAATTTTTGCACAAAAATTAGGAAAACATACACTGCAAAAAATGACTTTCTTACTTGAGAAACAAAATGATTTAAAATATCAAGTCTTATTTTCTGATTTTTTTTAATAAATTTGAAATTGAAACAAGAAAAAATATCTGCCAATGGGGAAAGAGAAATAATCTTAATTCAAAGGGAAACCAAGATTTTTTTTTTTTTTTTTTTTTTTGCCCCATTAGGAGATATTGGTCTTAATTTTAAGAAAAAACTCAATTTTGATACATTTTTCTAAGCAACATGATACCTTCAGTCTTTTAGCATCTCCAATAAATGCATCTTGTTATAAGGACATGGGTAGATATTTGTAAAGGAAAACAAAAATGACAAAAATTCTGAATAAGAAAATCATTTTTTGCAGTGTATGATTTATTTTATTTATTTATTTTGTCAAACAAAATGGATGCATATCTGTTTTCCAGTCATGCACACAAATATTGTTTTCATTATTTTCTGTAAAATGTATTTTTTTGGTTATTTTTTCCCTTGTTTGTAATGCACAAATCACATGATATTCCATGGATTGATTGTGTTGTGTTTAGGAGCTGTTCAGGGCATGATCACAGGGATCCGAGGTCTGTGTAACGGACTCGGCCCGGCTCTGTTCGGATTCATTTTCTTCCTCTTCAATGTGGAGCTGAAGGAGCTGAGCCCCGTGGATCCGAACCCCGTCACGCCGGACACTGAAGAGGTACAAGAGAACGTAATCACTCTCTGTGTCTTTCTCAGGGTTCCTACAGGGTCTGGAAAAGTATGCAAAAAAGAAATCAGAGTATGGAAAAGTATTTGTGTTTCCAGACTTTTGCCCCCTATTTTTTTTTTTTTTTTAATAATAGAAAATTAAGAATTTAATGAAAATAAATTTATTGTACAAGACGTCAAAGTCAAAATACGACTTTTGCATTATGCAAAATGCAGGTTATAAGCATTTTGGGTTTCTTCTCACAATATTCTTAGCACCATATTACATAGCCTCAAAAATAAAACATATACAGACTTTTATGTGCGCACGAGAAATCATTTAACTTTGTGAATAGGACAATGCACACTGAGCCACCCGTTGTGGTTTCTTGGCCTCCACAAAGCATGCATTAAAGAGACCTAAGACCTTAATATATGGCATACTGACCTAACAAAAGTCAAATTTTAAAAACTTTTTTTTTTTTTACAGTACCAGTCTTTTTTATAAACCTTTGAACTGTCATGTTCAGCCCATTTCGTGTCATGGTTTCTCCATCGCCACGGAGGATGTGTTAAATTGGACATTAGGCCTTGATATTAGAGGTTCTGCCATAAGAAAAGACAAAATTTGAGCTAGTAGATTTGTACTAATTCATGTGCATCCATGCTCTTGTTTTATTCATAGTAAGATGGCAGTGATGCACGAAGGAAATAGGCTATATAAAACTGTGTAAGCATGCAAAAAAAAGTTTCTTGTGTGCATGTAAAAGACCTTTTGTTTTTAGGGGCTCTGTATGTTAATGCCACTTAGAGAAAATCAATGAGAAAATAAAAATATTTACAGATGACTGTATTATATACCAAATTTGTGACCCTGCAGCACAAAATCAGATTCCAGATTTTCAAATAGATATATCTCAGCCAAATATCGTCCTATCCTAACAAACCATACATCAATGGAACGATTATTATTCAGCTTTCAGATGATATATACATCTCAATTTCCAAAAATGGACCCTTATGACTGGTTTTGTGCTCCAGGGTCACATATAATGCTGGAATTAATGCTCTGTGAACCATTTATGTTAAACATGGTCTGAAAATCTACTGGGAAATGTGTAGGAAGCCTGCTTTCTGTACAGCGTGTGTCTTCGGTCTTTCAGAAGCGTGTGATTCCTGGCCCTCCCTTCCTCTTTGGCGCGTGTTCGGTTCTTCTGGCTCTGCTGGTGGCGGTTTTCATTCCCGCTCAACACGCTCCAGCGCTGAAGACGGAGACTGCGAGCGGCGTCACGGAGAACGGATCGGTTCCTGTGAGCGACGAAGACAACGAGCCTCTTTTACAGGACAGTAGTTTATAAGCCCAGCAGGAAACTCCTTTGGTTTGGGTTTTATTCCAGCAGTGTGTCTGACAAAGCCTTTTACTGAATGTCTAAACATCTGTCTTTTTTTTTTTTTTTATATATATATATATATATATATATATATATATATCCTTCAGTCTTTGAAAGAGAATGTGCCTTCACCATATTTTGGCTGACACTGCAAAAAATCAAGTTCTTTCAATGCAAAAAATGATTCTCTTACTTAGTGTTTGTGTCTTGTGTTCTAGTATAAATATCAACATTCTTGACTCAAGATGCATTTACTGTACAAGTGAAATGATTTAAGATATTACGTCTTGATTTCTGTAAAAAAAAAAAATATATAAAAATAGTTAGTTTTTGCTTAAAACAAGCACAAATATCTGCCAGTGTGGCAAGAAAAATAATCTTGTTTAGCCTTTGAATTAAGATTATTTTTCTTGCCCCGTTAGCAGATATTTTTGCTTGTTTTAAGCAAAAACTAACTATTTTTATATATATATTTTTTTTACAGAAATCAAATCGTAATATCTTAAATCATTTCACTCGTACAGTAAATGCATCTTGATTCAAGAATGTTGATATTTATACTAGAACACAAGACACAAACACTAAGCAAGAGAATCTTTTTTTGCAGTGTTCTCAGTGTTTTTGTCTTGCTTGGTATCTAAACATCCTTAAATCAAGATACGTTTACTGAAGAAGCGAAATAACTTATCAAGTCTTGATTTTGAGAAATTAATGCTTAAAACAAGAAAAAAAAAATCTGCTAATGGGGTCAGAAAAATAGTCTTGTTTTCCCTTTGAATCAAGATTTTTTGTAAATTTCTGTTTTTGTTTTAAGAATAAACAAACTTAATTTTGATGCATTTTTTTTTTCAGAAAGTAAGACTTAAGACTGAGAATATCTTCAGTCATTTTGCTTCTCAAGGAAATGTGTCTAAATGTAAGCATCTTTAGACATACTGGAAAACAAGACAAAAATACTAAGTAAAAAATGATTTTTGCAGTGTAGCTGCCGTGTATCTGAACGTAAACTGTAGTCCTTTATTATATTACTGATGAACTTTAACCTCTGCGCTAAACTTGTACAGACTGCAGTAATAATAATGTCCTAGTGGCAAAGTTAGTTAAGAGCATTTAAACACGCATTGCACGTACAGCCAGAGCGCAGCGTCTTTTATCGCACAAAACAGACATAATCATTGTCTTTAGGTCAGGTGCAGCTTTGATAGATGAATTATTACGAAGAAAATGTATTTAATCTGTAACTCATAAATGAGCACCAGCTACTCAACACAATTACACACAGACTTGATTATACTTGAGTATCGTTCAGCCAAAAATGAAAATGTGCTCACCCTCATCATCATCCGAGATCAGGATGAGTTTGTTTCTTCATCAGGTTTGGAGAAATGTAGCATTACATCACTTGCTCACTGCAAGTGAATGGGTGCCATCAGAATGAGAGTCCAAGCAGCTGATAAAAACATCACAATAATCCACAAGTAATCCACAGCACTCCAGTCCATCAGTTAACATCTGGAGAAGACAAAAGCTGAAACAAATCCAGCATTAAGATGTTTTTAACTAAAGAGCATCTGCTGTTGTCTCTCACATCAAAATCCAGCCACATATGTGTTTAGAGCTGTTTAAACGCTGCTTGATCTGTGCAGATTTCTCTCCTGATTCACACCAGAACACTTTTTCAGTGGATTATGGCTTTTCACTGGATTATGGACTCTATGTATTTTAGTTAAAAACGTCTTAATGCTGGATTTGTTTCAGCTTTTGTCTTCTCCAGATGTTAACTGATGGACTGGAGTGCTGTGGATTACTTGTGGATTATTGTGATGTTTTATCAGCTGTTTGGACTCTCATTCTGACGGCACCCATTCACTTGCAGAGACACTGATGCAATGCTACATTTCTCCAAATCTGATGAAGAAACAAACTCATCCTAATCTCAGATGATCCTGAGGGTGAGCACATTTTCAGCACATTTTAATGTTAGGCTGAATTATTCCTGTAAGGCATTTAACGTTTCTGTGCTGTCCAGTAAATTTCCAGAGGACCTAATCAAATGTTTTGTTTTTTAAAGCAGCTTTACTGATTTATCATTGCTTGCTAACAGAGCAGATTCTTACTGACTTTTATGTTATTTTATTTAATTGAAAAAAGTCATTTTTTTGCATGTTAGAAGCAGAGTAAAACTAATTTTGGTCACGACTTGGTTAGCATCAGATTATCTGAGTGATTGCATTTTATCATGTAACACACTGCAGCAATAACAGCCTAAATCCATGACGACTTCTGCTTCATCGTGTACGTTTGATGTATTTACAATGTATTTAAGCAGCACAAAGTGGAGGAAACGTTTCAGTTGCCAATTTTGATTATGATGCATACTTGAAAATGATGTAGATGTGACTCTATTTATGCAATCGGTGCTGTAGATCAATGCACACTGACTCCAGAAGGTCTTAGCCCCACTAAACTAATGTCATTTTAGGTGTTTTCCAATGAACTGCACTTTGTTTTTTAATGATGTTTTGGCTCTAGGTGCCATTCTTCATGTCTATGCAGCCATTTCTTGAAGACTGGTTTGTAGATGCCTACTGATGAGATTTTATTGATGCATTCGATGCACATTAAGCATTCGTTTGCTGAGACATTTGTTCGTTTAGCTATTCATTGATGTTTCAATAAACCGCTTCATATTGCATGATTGGATTTATATTTTTTCCCATTGACAGAGAAATGCAAGTGTTTGCATGTCATATTTATTGCTGAAGGCAAAATAGGAAATTGGAATTTTGATTTATTTAATTGCAATAAATTAAAATGACTCTCGTTTCATACATCTTATAAAACATTGACTCGCAGACAGAAAAATTCATTATCAGCATGCTGTGAAACATTTGGTCACATCAAACAAACTAAACGATGGAAATCTTCACAGAGAACCAAATCAAAATGGGTTTGGGATCAGATTTGAACTAGTTTAAATGAAAATATGAACTTCAAGCCTACAAACTCCCAGCTGTTTTTCTTAAATAATAGTAAACGCTGCTAGAGAAGAAACCCAAACCCTTTAGATACTAACAGCTTATCATCCAGTGTAACCTGCTTTTCAGTTTTAATTGAACTCGGAATGAGAAAACTAATAAATAGACTCCAGTGGAAGCATTTAAAACACTGATATCATTCTGAAGCAGATGATTGTGTCATATTTACAGTCATCTGGTTCTACAGCAGGCAGCTGAGGGAGACTTTAGTGGTGTATGACGGCTGAGTGTCTGAAAAAGAGGAACATTTAGTTAAAGCCTAACATCTGCAAATGATGCACAAACTGTTTCCAGATGTATTTAAAGTTCTGTATGATTACTGAATGATGCACTGAAAAAAATGGCTTTGCATTTACTTTGAAACTGCTAGTAAATATAACTTATAATTACAAAGAAACGGCAAGTAACACATTTAATTAAACATGCCGTTTTCAAGTAGAAAGACTGGAATAGTATGTTCTTGTAAAAAGTACTCCAATAATCAGTGTTTTATTTTATAACTTAAGAAAATCAGCATTTTAGAATTGGCTCCTTTTCAATTCATAAAATGTATTTTATATATTTTTTTTTGGACAAATTAGAATTTCTAAAATAATTATAATTATTTATTTTTCTGCATCCTTTTTGCTTCCTTAGTTCATATTTAATTTAAATCCATGGATTTATCAGCATTCATCATTTTCACCTCTGTCTTGAAGAGTCTCGATGTACGTCTTCATGAACTCCTTGTCACGCTCGTCCTGAGCTTCTGCGTCTATCTCGTTCATGTCTTCATTGTCAGTGTTTATTGGATTGTCATATAATCGGATTAATCTGAAACGGAAAGATAGTAGATCAGCGCTTTATGGAGTGTTTTTAGGGGTTTGGACAGACAGCATGCAGCTGCTCATGTTTTATATTCGGATTGCAAAAAAAAAAATAAAGAGATGGAGGAAAAATTATAATTAAATGTTTTGCAAGTCAACGCAAATTTTCTCAGAGGAACGTAATACTTTTGAGAAAGAATGCCAATGTTTTGTGAGTGAATGCAAAGCTTCTTTGGGAAATGCAAATGTTTTGTGACCAAATGCACGTTTTTCAGGGGAATAGGACAGTTTTGCGAAAGAACACAGATGCTAATTTTTCGGGGGAACGCAATAGTTTGCGAACTAACACAAAGTATCTCGGGGGAACGCAATAGTTTGCGAACTAACACAAAGTGTCGGGAACGCAATAGTTTTACAAGAGAACACAAATGTTTTGAAAGCGAACATGAAGTTTCTCAGAGGAACACAATAGTTTCGGGAACGAACACAATGTTTCTGAGGGGAATGCAATAGTTTGCGAACGAACACAAAGTCTCGGGAATGCAATAGTTTTACAAGAGAACACAAATATTTTGCAAACAAACGCAAAGTTTCTCAGGGCAACGCGATAGTTGCGAGCGAATGCACAGGTTTTGCAAGCGAGCGCAAAGGTTATTGGTGAAACGAAGAAGATTTTCAAGAGAATGAAAATGTTTTGTGAGCAAACAGAACATTTCCCGGTGAACGGTTTAACCCTAAAACTGGCAACGTATCCTGTGGGATACAAACATTTGAGAGGCTGTGTGGGGAGAGGCAGGGAAAGTGTACGTCTCGTTCCTTGGTTTGGGAATATTTAGATATATTGACTTTGTTCATACATTCCTTGTTTAGCTCACAGGCAGCATTTAAAACTGCAGGGACGCCTTTCATAGGAAATCTACTCACCCTCCGATAAAAGTTGATCTAGTTCACATATTTACACACGTTGGAGGGGACTTACCTGATTAAAAAGCTGTTGTTCAGCATTAGCTTATTAGGTGAAAAAAACAATAGAAACCATCACAGAAATTCTAATGGTTTCCACTACAAATACCATTACGAACACTACAAACCATCGACTTTTAACCATTAAAAATGGTTTCCTGTAGTGTGTTTTGGGACACTATTAGATTTAGTGGTTTTAACAAGCCACCAATAGAAGGAGACCAACATGGAATATTACAGTTTCCATTAAAACCAATACAATTCCCATTATAACCAGTACAACCATTACAAATTCTGTGGTTTCTATTGGTTTTTTTT